AGATGAGCTTATGTGATTTATGTAACTTTAGTTATAAATGAACTAAAAAGTTTTTATGTTAACTAATTAACTTCACAAAATATAATATATTTTTAAGAATAATGATACAAATACCGATACTTATAGGACGGATTTAGAGGATGACTTACATGGCCTTGCCACACATACAGACCCCAACCTCACTTGCCATGTAGACATACACACTTATAAATTTATTTTTAGGAGGGATTATTTGTAAAAAGAGTTTTCCTTAATCCCTAATTCTAAATCTCATTGAAAACCAGTAGCCCACTTAACTTCCTATTCTTGCGTTGCCTTGCATCTCTATTCTATGCCGAAGTTGTTTTTTTTGGCATCGATTTGGTAAGTCGAAACCAAACTTATTTGATTTTTTCTATTGACTCTGAACTTGCTTTATTTTTACATGGGATTTGGGTTGATTTCTATGTGGTTTTGATCATGAAAACTTTTAGGTTTTGAATCATGTTCTATTTTATGGTTTAATTTGATTTATAGGTTTGATTTTCTTGTGGCTTTAAATCTTAAAACTCACATGTTTGAATTTTATACTACTTCATTCATTCATTGTCCAGAAACAATCATGTTCAGTTTTAGTATTGCAAGTTGTGATTTTGCTTTTGCTTAATTAGGTAGATACCTACCTTTACAGTTCCTGTAGTTAAACTAAACTCCAATTTTAATTCCATCTTGGTTTCTTAAAGCAAATTTCAAAAGAAAAATCATGTACTTGAACAACTTGCTGTCCAAATTGGATAGCTTTGACAATCTTAAGAAATTTTAGAAACACAGAATATATTAGTTTACTTAAATTGTTTTAGGGCCATTAATTGCTTGGGAATTATAGGAAAAAGGGTTTTTAAGGTTTGTGCATATAAAGAGAAGCACAGAATATTTGTAGGAGCTATTAGCTAAGTTATTTCTCTGTTATGAATTTAATTATTTTTTGTTTTTCAAATGAAAATTCTTAACACAGGGCTTCTTTTTTTTAGGTAATTTTAGTAACTTTTGGTTGATAATAGCACTCATTCAGCTATCTTACATCACCTATTTCTAATTTTATATTTATATTAATCAATTACGATGAAGTGGGCATAATCTCTGATAGAATAATACTCTATTAAAGTATTAATCCTTTTTTTCCTGGAACAATTAGTGCACTTATTAGTGATTTTAGCACATTAGGTGCGGAAATGAGATATTTTTCTTATGTATTTGAAGGTGGATTATATGATATGGTGGTATCTAGCCATCAATTTTTACAAAAATAAAAGTGAGAATTATCTACTTTTTATTTTATCTTTTAAAAA